TGGTGAAATAGTATGCTTTTGAAAATATAGATCGTGAGATAATAGGCAGTAGTTATTGACAATTGACATATGCTTAAAGGGGTGGATTGGATTTTCAATTACCTTAGATGGCAGTTACGCATCCCTTCTAACTCAGCATCATTTTTTACAGCTTTACGCAGAGATACAGGAGAACTCCTATACACTGCACATGGTCCTCCAGATTGACCATTGGTATCGAGGTTGGCAGTCTTCTTCCTCCTGGCTTTAGTTGCAGAATTCCAAGGATATCTGTAACAAGCTGATTCATATGTATTTACAATAGCAGCATTGACTGATGAAGTGTCCAACCAAAGGTTTGCCCCTTTTGCTGCCAAACTGAAAAGGGAAATTCTGGAGTCAAATTTTATCATGGGGAAACTCTCTCCAAAAGCACAGATCTTACTAATGCTTTGGTTGTTGAAGAGTTTCTTCTATTAGAAACAGGGACCAACATAATTGCAGCATGAAAAATATCTCCATTAGCATTTAAGTTTAGGATGCTGCTTGTAGAGTTGAACACTCAAATGCTGAGCTTAATATATATGCAAGCTTCTCCGGGGCTGCAGTTCTCCCTGCAGCTGTTCTTGCCAGAGTGATACCAAATACAAGACATAGAACTGTTGACGAGAAGACAAATTTTGCCATTCAATAAAACAGAAAAAAGAAAAAGAAAATCCTAATGCTTCAAAATCACCTTTCAATTTCAGAGAGAATGGATTCATATGCTCTCAATTCTATGCCAGCATTTGTCAAATGCTCCATAACTTCAGGTGTTACTTTAGTATCATCAATGAACAATTTTGCTCCATCTATCTCCACAACTAAGTATGCATACATCACTGGTGAATGTGGGACATCATTACCTCTCTGGAGACACAAGTAAATAACTGAACGAATAAGCAGCTTAAATAAGAAAAGACACAACTGAAAGAAATTTAAGTCATCATTCAACTCTAAGCCTAAGACTCTTGCTGTGCATCGTTGAAATCTTGACATATGCCTTCCAGTGTTATAAATATCCTTGAGGACTAGAAATTGAACCACTATTGGAAGTTTAACAATTAATATTCTTTTAAGACAGAAAATTATTAGCCATTAAAATTACAACGACTCCACTAACTAACTATTTATAGGGCCATCAAAATTAAATATTCCACTAAAATTCATATTTCTATGCTAATCTCATATTTTCAAAGGATTAATCAGTGTGCAGGCAAAAATCAAAAGATCTTGAATGTCGAAGTTGGGTGCACCAATCAAATTATATTTTTTTTCTTTTGATGAAACAATCAAACTACATCTATGTCGTCACTTAAAATATTTTTACGTGCTAGCATATATAATACATAATCACCAGAGTTTTTCTCATGAGGTGAAAACTGCCAGAGATAATCTTGAAAAAAGCTTTTAACGTCAAGTTTTAGAAATACTAAATTTGGTAATCAGAATGAAGTTGGTTCCCTCAAATTTAACTGATAACCCAATTGTTAATCACAGAATATTGATTACTAGTCTTATAAACTTATCAAGAATAAAAAAAGAAAACTCTTCATTAGAGTTTAAGTGTAAAATATTCAAGATATTGTTCTTGAAGCTATGCCATTATAGGAAACTAAGAAATCACAATTTGAAGAGGAAGATGAGAGACACAGCTAAAAGGATAATTATGCTGAAATGGAACTCATCCAAGCTCCATTTTCAACTGATTAAGATTATCAGATGTAAGAACTATTGATAGGCTTACTTTTTGTCCACAGTTAACCGGATTTACAACAATAGAGAAGGATAGTTTCTTCCTATACCTCAGACCAAAAAATCTCATACAAGCAGGAATCTAGTTTTAAAATGATCTATTTGTGCACATTTGACCAAGTAAAAAAGATTTTAAAGAAAAAGTAAAGAGGATTACCAAGTTCAATAGCCACGCAATTTCGTCAAGCATGGAGATAACAATTGCCGATGCACCAGCATGTCTTAACTCAGATCTCAATGACAAAAGCTTAGACGACACATCTACACCAGCATATTTCAGGCCGTGCAACCTAATTGGTTCTTTTGGAGGCGTTGGCCTCGACTCCTTCCATATTTCATCTACAAGGTTGAAATCATACAGCAAGACCAACTCATGGTTTCCTTTAGAAATGTCCTCTTTGAATTCTTTTGCAGCATCAGATGAAAAAAGAAACTGCTCCCTTCACCAAAACAAAGAGAACTGATATAAGAGGAGAGAAAATGCAAGGTTACTTATGATGCAGTCAACTCAAATAGAAAAACACTTGCAAGATTGACAAATTTGAAGTTTTGAACTAGAAGAGATGAACTAGTATTAGAAGGCACCAATTTCAAAATATAAACAAGTCATGTTTTGGACTAACCCAACACCGGAACATAGAACGGGCAGTCTGATGAATGGTAGAAGGGGGAGAGGGGGGGAGTCATGCCCATTCTCCAGGCATGAGCAGAAATATGAAAATATGTGAACTCATTGACAAATTGAGGAATACGTCTGACTTCTCCCTATAAGTATACATGTTGTCATTCCAATACCAGAATTTACTGGAACTTAAAAGTACAATGCACAAATCAGAAAGCATATTTGAGCATTACTTACGGGATCTATTCCAATCCTGCAACCAGGTGCTAGGACAGTATTAAGCCACTCACTAGGAGTAGGCACCCCCAAGTTACCAGCTCTCATGAGAACCCAGCTTGAGTTCAACTGCTTCTCAGCCTGTTTACAAACACCAAAGAGAAGAAAAAATCAATTAGAAGACAACAGGTACCGACAAAGGGTACCAACCAAACTGTTCAGTTTGCTTCCTTTGAAAAATGATCAGTAAAACTAAAGCTGCCATGCACATAATACAAACCTGTAAGAAGTATCGTCCATCTGTCCATAAGGCTGCTTTATCCTTGGTTACAACCGCAGTGCCTGCACTTCCAGTAAATCCTGATATATAGGCTCTTCGCATATAACATTCTGCAATGAACTCACTCTACAAATAAGAGCAATTCAAATTTAGTAAAACTCATAAAATAAGGTAATACATAGTTCCATCCAATTTGTTGCTTGCCTTCCCAGCCACTAGATAGTCCCAGAAATTACTTACTACCTTCCCCAAAAAATAGGATTAACTACCCAGGAGATCCATTATCTACACGTTGTCATGAATCAAGTCAATACAATAGAAACATATCACTAAAAGTTTGTTAAGTCACGAAACTCATATGCATCAGATGACCACTTAAAAATGTCAAGAAGGTGTTGCCTAATTAAATAGCAAATCTTGATCTAAACAGAAAGCGGCAATTCTTTAAAAACACAACTCTTTGAATAACAGCTACCAAAATGAACAGATATTGCAAATCAATAGGCTTTTTTTTCAATTATCAGGTACATTGCAAATCAGCAGGCTCTAGTACCAATATAGCAACAATATTTTTAAACTGAATTACCAAACTCACTCATAGGAATAACATTAATAGTTCTAATAGTCATTAGGTTTTTCAAAACTACGCTACACAAAAGCCAAATCCAAGAGCCTACAATTAACATAACAATTGAAACAAGCATAACTTCATCGCAAACCACGGTTACTAAAAAAAATCGAGGGAGTGTGAATTCAAGAAAAGCAATAAAATACAACCTGATGGGCATCTTGGGAAGGAATAATATAAGCATCAACGTTAACACCAGGCTTAGTAAAGAGCGCACGAAGAGCACGAAGCTTGTTATCCTCCTCTTTACGGTCGCTACCACCCTTTTTCTGAAATTCCGAGGACGGCTTAGCGCTGATGGAACTGGAGCTGGAACTGGAGCTTCGGACAATTAGAAGATTGAGATGATTAGGAGATTTTGAGGAAAATTTGGGGCAAGTTTTAAATTTGTGAAAGATGGGGAGGGAGAAGGAGAGGATGCGGAAACGTCGAGGAGGGTGGTGGTGGAGCTTGGAAGAGGAATTGAGGATGGTGGTAGTGGAAGCTGAAAATGAAGCTGCCAATGACTCCATTGATTTAGAGAGAGAGAGAGAGAGAGAGATAAGATTGGAGTTTTAGGAGCAGAGGTGTAAACTAAATTTGAAGGAAAATTAAAATGAATCTTATTTTGGTCGAAATATTTTGTCAGTCAAGTACTTTTGAGAAGTACATATTTGGCCTAACCATATCAAGATTCGATTAATAGGAGTACTATTTAAATAAAGATTTGATTTTAACTTTTTTATGAAAATTATCATTTCTTTATTTAATTACGGAGTAAAATATAAAAGATAAATTATATATTAAAAATCTTAATTAATATGTAACTATAATATCAAAGCAATATTATTAGATATCTAGTATATTTAGTTTTCTTAGACGATGACTTAAGTAAAGCAAAATATATTACGGATTATAATATTAAAAATCCACTCCAAGAGCTGCATTTCGTAAAAAAATAAAAATTGTACTCCATATTTACATTAAATTAAGTAATATTATCTTAGTTGTTAAAACTTAAACTGAGAATACTCATTTTACTATAAGTAAGTAACAAATGCACGTATATGATGCACATTTCTTGCATTAGATTGGATGTGAGGCCATATAGGTACATTAATGAGGAATAATTTACTAAAAATGTAATTTTTTGAGGATCTTTATATAAATAGTCAGTTAATTTTTTTTTTATATATACATAAATTATACATGATTATTTACATATTATATATAGATTATACATTTGTTATACATCTACCGGCTATTTTTAATTTAAGCACCCGAATAAGCGGCTATTTAAGTTAATTTTTTAATTTTTTTATAATAATTTTTTATCTTAAAAAATAAATTTTTATTTCCACTTATTGAAATAAGTAGAAATTTATATCTATCAAACTGCTTCTATTATTATTATTCAAAAACACATACTACTACTCTTTTTTGTCAAACACCTTAAAAGTGAAAAGTACCAAAAAATATTGACTTTAGACTTTAGAGACGTGGGAAGTGAAAGGTACGAAACATTTTAGGATATAGAGTGAGTTAGTAAAGTGAAAGTATTTATCATCCCTTTTTTTTTTCTTCTGAAATTAGAAACCAAATTGCAATGATGATACCCAATTTCTCTCCATTATTCTTCACCTGATTTGCTCCCTTGAAAACACAAAAGTTGCTTTACACAGATCACAACACCCATTGTTCTCCATTACAAATCTTGGATTCTATTTCCTTTTCATGCTGTTACCTCTCAGCTCTACTCATCAACAATGGCGATCATAACCGAAGAACCAGACTCACCTACTCCACAGAAGAACCAAAAACCCCTTAAAAAACCAAATTCAAAACCTCCACAATCCACCTCCCCAAATCCCACCAAACCCACAAAAACAACAAATGCAACAACAAACCCACTTCATTTCTGGTTCTATTTCACCATTTCAGTCTCTCTTATAACCCTCATATTCATGACTCTCACTTCTCTTTACCCACAAGACCTTAAAACATGGTTCCTTAGCTTGCCTCCTAATCTACGCCAACACTACTCTAAAGGGCAAAATATCAAAGTTCAGATCACCCCTAACCAGCCACAAGTTGAAGTCTTTACTATCCAAGAAGGACCCTCAAAGTCTTCTGATCATGTACTTATTGTACATGGGCTAGGATGTAGTTCTTTTGGGTTTCAAAAAGTTGTCAACTTTTTGGGGGTTAGAGGTGTTCATGCTGTTGCTATTGATCTCCCTGGGTCTGGGTTTTCGGATAAGACGATAGTTGTGGAGGAAGAGAGTGTGGGTGGTGGTGGGGTTTTAGAGAGGTTTAGGGATATGTATAGTGAAATTCAAGAAAAGGGTATCTTTTGGGGGTTTGATCAGCTTGTTGAGCAGGGATATGTGAACTATGAGGAAAATAATAAGATCAGGGTTTCGAAAAGAAATGTTGTTAAGGCCATTGATTTGGGACCTGAAGAGATGGGAAAAGTGTTAGGTCAAGTGATTGATTCAATGGGATTGTCACCTGTGGATTTGATTTTGCATGATTCTGCATTGGGTTTGAGTGCTAATTGGGTTTCGGAGAACCGGGGATTGCTTAGAAGTGTGGTGGTTCTAGATAGTGCAACGAGTGGAACAGCATTGCCATTGTGGGTGTTGGAAATGCCAGTTGTGAGGGATGTTGTTTTGGGATTTGGATTTGCTTTTAGGAGATTACTTGGAACGTGCTGTTCGAGATCGGTTGGTGACTTGGAGGCTGAGGGTCATAGGATTCTTTTGAAGGGAAGGGATGGAAGAAGAGCTGTTGTTGGGATGGGGAAGAACCTAAATTGTAGCTTTGATTTGAATGAATGGGCTGCTTTAGATGGAGTGAAAGGTCTACCAATGCAAGTAATTTGGTCTGATGCCTTGTCCAAAGAGTGGACCAAGGAAGGACGTCAAGTTGCTGATGCAATTCCACAGGCAAAATTTGTCACTCATTCTGGTGGTAGATGGCCCCAGGTGAGAATGAAGAACATGAGCATCATTTTTATTTTATCTGAAAATGTTAATTCCTATAAGTTTGAATGAGTTTAGGCGAGTATCAAAGAGAGATGCGTTTTGAAGATACTATTTTAGCTTGCTATCTGCTTGATATATAGAGCGGAGTATTTAAGGTCGTAGGTTCTGGTTTAGATGCACGAGTGAGCCTCCTCCAGACGTGGAAGGGTAGGCATGTGTGTTAGTTTATTCTCCTTTATATGCTATAAATGATTAGTCTTTATCTTGAAAGTTCTGATGAGAAACATAAATCAGGCGAAGTATAATGCCAAACATGTTTAGACTGGTCAGTTACTTCAACTTTTCTTGACACAAACTCTAGAAGAAGATTCTTGTAATATTTTCACTTGAAATCTGTGTTGTGAGGCCAAATGGTTCAAGCAGATATAGGAAGCATTAAAAGGTATTTTTTGTTTCACTTCTATTTTTGGCATAAGGAGAGAAACCAGGCTGTGGTGGACGCAGCTGGACAAGCTCGATAGCCGATTGTGGATGACTTGGATTGAGTCATACACAGCACCTACTTGATGCTGATATATGAAATTCTTAAATTATGAAAAAGAACACCTTATTTACTAACTGGATGGTTCTATGCTACATTTTCCCTAGTCGAATAACATAATAAGTAACCATAAGGGCTCATGCCTTCTAGCTGAATGCTCCTTGATTCTGGAGAGGTGTTTTACAATGCCATCTTTACGTAATATCGTGATGTTTTTTATGTGCTGATAACAAACCTGTTCTTCATTCATTCACTTGCAGAGTTTGTTCCTAATAAGTGAAGTTATTAATTTATTGATTTGCTGGGGAGAAACCCCC